GAGTCCTGGTTCCTGGCCCTGCTCTGGCCCATTGTCCGTGTGTGTCTGGCCGACGGGGCCAGTACAAGTGGTTGGGCTTTTAAGATACGTGGTAAGAGCGCCCCGTTGCTGACGGTGGCTGATCACTGGGCTCTGATAAGTGAGAGCTACAACTTAGGCCAAATCTCCCCGGACGGGACCCGGTGTGCAGGGAGCACTGAGCTAACGTCCACCAAATGCATCCGGACCAGACTGGACACAGTGCTGAGGCCCTGGCCTTCCTCCCCAGCTGGGCTCTCTGGAGTTTTCCGATGGACTGTGCCTACGGTCCCGTTCCTCCTTGTGTCTTCGTGAGGGACGATGACCGGCTGCCCAGAACGGCCCCGCTTTTAGCACGGACAGTCCTGTGTTCCAGGAAATGCCTTGGCACCTGGACAATTGGTCACCCCACCTCTAACAGCAGCCCAGCTTGTCTGAATGGCCTTTAGGGAAATGCAGCGCCCTGGGCCCAGGAAGACATGGCAAGCTCTGGGCCGAGAGTCTGGGCCGCGCTTGCTGAAGGCTTGCTCCCCCCCTCCCACAGGCTTCGTCCCCTACCTGAGCTGCGAGGGCACCTCCAGCGAGGACCACATGTCCCGCTGCCTGCAGGCCTTCCGGGAGAAAACACAGCGCTACAAGGACCAGCAGAAGGAATTCTGCCACGCGGTGGCCATTGCCCCCAAACTGAAGCCCATCTGCCGGGAGGAGACGGTCCTGCGGGCGCTGCACCAGTACTACCAGGAGCACCACCCCCTGCTTCTGGGTACTGGCTCCCCGAAGGCAGCCCCCTTCACCCCTGGGGCCCAACTGCAGGGCCTGGCAGGCCCACGGAGCTGCCTCCGAGCGCTCCAAATGCAGCGCAGCCCAAAGCCCCAGGCGGCAGTGAAAATGGCAAGGCCCAGATTCTTAAAATGAGAAACACCCATTTCCGGGGGAGACAGGTGCAGGTCTGGGGACAGGGTGCTGGGCACCAGGAGCCCCTGAGTGAGACACCACAAAGGTCAGGCCGCTGCTTTCTGGGCCGGCTCTGTGCCAGGCACCATTGTTTCCCACCATCCACAGCAGCCCTGCGAGGGGCGATGCTGTCATTCCCATTTCAGAGACGGGGGAAGTGAGGCTCCGGGAGGGATGTCCCTTGTCTGAGGTCAGACCTGGGTTTGAACGCAGCTCCTCCAGGTCCCAGCTGGGTGGGACAGGGCTTTGCGCTGGTAACCACAGAACCCACTGAGAATAGAATTATGTACCATTAATCATCACAACAGTGATTTGCCCGGGACCATTTTTCAGGGGTAAAGGCTTATAGGGAACGTAATGGACTGATTGTCTTTATTATTATTACTATTGTTTGAGGACTTTCAAGGACACGATTCTTGTGTTTCACAATTGTCTAGGGGGTCCTCAAACTTTTTAAACAGGGGGCCAGTTC